TGGCTGGGAATATAATTTTTAGAAATAGTATCTGATAAGGATCAAAAGCCAGCTTGTATTAAAAACAGCTTAGATGAAGTGAAGATGATGTGCTTTGCAAAATGCATTAGGTGACTCAAAAAGTGGCTCTAATGATGAACAGCTCTCCAACGCTGGCAATGGATGTGAAGCTTGAGGCACGTTCTTTTCAGAAAGAAGGTGAGAGTGCTTTTGAGAGAGGATGACCAAGAAGGCGAGAGACCTTGGGACAGCTAGTTTGTAGAAGGAAAGACCTATACGGTAAGGACCTACAGAGTAAGATACAAATGGTACATAATAAATGTCTTTCCAAGTATTTGAAGAGCAGTTGTGTGGAAGCAGAGTTGATTTATTGTGTTTTTTACCGAGCAGAAATTAAATGAACGAATGGAAATTATATGGAGGTAGATATTCAGTCAATAAAAGCAAGTATTTTATAGTAACTGGATTTGTCCAACACTGAATTTGAAAAGTCATGTGCAAGTAAAGCCTTCCTGACCAACTATAAGGAATGAAGTTGCAGTAAATTGCCTTTATGGTCCTTTTAATGATCAGATTCTATTATTTTATCAAATTATCTCCAAGCTGGCAACAAAGTTGATAACTGCATTTATTTTTTAAACATAGAGTTGGCCCTCTGAATTTGTGTGTTCTGCATCCATGGACTCAACCAAACAGCAGATTGAAAATATTAGGAAAAAACAACAAATAAAAAATAACACCACCACTATATATACACTATGGAATACTACACAATCATAACAAGGAATGAAATCATGTCTTTTGCAGCAACATGGAGGACAACATGAAATAGAGGCCATTACCCTAAGTGAAATCATTCAGAAACAGAAAAACAAATACTGCATGTTCTCACTTGTAAGTGGGAACTAAACAATAGGCACACATGGACATACAGAGCGACTCTAAAAGTGGGGAAGAGGATGTTGGTTGAAAAATCACCTATTGAGTACAATGTTCACTATTCGGGTGACAGGGACACTAAAAGCTCAGACTTCACCACTACACAACATATTCATGTGACAAAACTGCACATACACCCTCCTAATCTCTAAAAATTTAAAAAATTTATATATATATATATATGAAATTAATGTGTATTTAGGCATCAAAAAATAACAATACCACAATAGAAAAGTAATACAAATTAAAAAACAATACAGTATAACAACTATTTGCAGAGCATTTATATTGTATTAGGTTATTACAAGTAATGTAGAGATGGTTTAAAGTATACGAGAGAATATGTGTAGGTTATATGCAAATATGATTCCATTTTATATAAGGAACTTGAGCATCTGCAGATTTTGGTAGCTTTGGTGGTCCTGGAACCAGCACTCTTTGGATGCCAAGAGATCATTATACTCTTTTCATTTATCACATATTTTTTAACAGTCTGCTCTGTAAGAATCGTTACATTAAGTTTTATGTATAACAAAACATATATAAAAATAATGATAGAAATGTACAATCAAAGAAGGTTACATATATGCACGCATGTTAACATATACCATAGCATGTATAACATACCATTCCTTGGCTGGGCTTTGTCCTAAGGTTAAAGCAGATACATAATGAAGGCACGATCTAGTTAGAATTTTTATCTTTTTCTAGGGTGTATCTTGATTGCCTTGTCTCTAGACCAGACTATCTGCCTGTCCAAGAATAAACTGATTCATCCATAGTGAAGATATGAGTCAAATATTTTGGCTTTACTATGAAGCCTTTCTTGGCTTAGACACAAGACACTGAAACTTTGTCTTCCAATTTCCCAACTTGTGCTATCAAATCTTCTCAAAAACTATTACACAAAGAATGAACAGTGGGAATTATCCAACAGACCTTCCAAATACAACATCTAATAAAGCAACATTGGAATTACATAAAACTATTGGTCACTAATTTCTATCCCTGATCACAAGGAGATTAGTCAACAATACAAAGTAATCAGTTTGAAAGCAACCCAGCATAGCAAAACAACTCCAGGGCTAGAAGTACTCATGAAACACAACTCTTTGGTATATGAAGCATCATAAACTTACCAAATACAGTAGAGGAAAAGCTGAAAAATACTCTTACAATATAATGATAGTTAATGATATAAACACAAGTAAAACATTAAGCTGGAAAAAAAATCACATTTGAAAAAGTCACCTTCAAACACTTTTTAAAAATCACAAGCAAGGGCTGTGTGAACCATTCAACATTTTTTCCTCAAATAATCTGCAAATAAAAGTTTTCTCAGTTCTAATCTGAGAAGCTGACCTGAGATTGTTGGAAAAGGATGCTTTTTTCCGGGTTTATGCCACAGGCAAGAAGAACAGCAGTCATGTCCAGGATGCTCTGCCGAAGGACAGCTGGGTCTTGGGGGACAGTAATGGAGTGTAGGTCAACAATGCTGTATAATACAGAGTCATATTCATCCTGTAACCTCACCCAGTTCTCAATGGCTCCCAGGTAATTGCCCAGGTGGAGGATTCCTGTAGGTTGAATGCCAGAAAATATTCGCTTCTTGCTGTCTTTCTGGAACAACGGAAAACAAACATATTTGCTTTTGAGGCAGAATCCCATGAATCCTATGCCCATGTTATCATAGCTATGGGAGCTAGTTATATTTTTGTAAACTACAATCTGACAGTCATCATCATCCATCTATTTTGGGCCTACTCTGTAAATCACTATGCTAGGTGCTACTAGGGACAAAAAAAAAAAGGATATTAAAAATGTTTTTGTACTCAAACGTGTACAAATATAAAGACACATAAGAAAAGATCTGCAGCTGGGCGTGGTGGCTCATGCCTGTAATCCCAGCACTTTGGGAGGCCAAGGAGGGTGGATCACCTGAGGTCAGGAGTTTGGAACCAGCGTGGCCAACATGGTGAAACCCGGTCTCTACTAAAAATACAAAAATTACCTGGGCATGGTGGTGCGCCTATAATCCCAGCTACTTGGGAGGCTGAGGTGGGAGAATTTTAAACCCGGGAGGTGGAGGCTGCAGTGAACCAAGATCATGCCATTGCACTTTAGCCTAGGCAACAGAGCGAGACCCCGTCTCAAAAAAAAAAAAAAAGGAAAGAAAGAAAAAAAAGGAAAAGATCTGTATCCCCAAGAGAATGTGATGTAATAGGAGATAGACGATATTGTTTATGAAAAGGCAAGTAAAGGTATAACATGGTAACATAATCATGACCAGTTTGGAATGATACAGAATAGGGTTCAGAGAGGAATTCCCAAGAGGAAAAGGTAACTGAGGTTTGGTGGTCAATGAGGAGGCCTTCAGACATAGAATCAAATTTCACTGGAGATTAAAGGGGCCTCGAGAGTTTTTCATGTGATTTAATTTCTTTTGCAGCTAAGGAAATGAAGGCCTTAGCATTAGTGCTAAAGGCTACTGCTATTGCCTTAAGATTTTTGTTTATATTTTTGATATCATAATTTAGTGTATGAGATCTTGGGCTAGAAATTAGAAAATATATACTCTCTTTCTAATATTACTTCTTAATAAGGTTATTTAAATTTTCTATGCCTTGGTTTCCTTTTACTTTTAATAAAATCATATTTGGGTTTTCAATTCTTCAAAAGGAAATTTTAATTCTATATAATTATTTAAATTATAAAAAACATTTGCACCCTGGTCATATTTTCCCTTTGGTTTGTACTTCCTAATGCTGAAGTCATAATAGGAAAATGAAAAGAAAAAAAACGCAATACAAACTAAAAAAAAATTGCTATTTTTCCCCTGAATTATTTTGTAATACATTCCATTGTGAAAAACCAAAAATGAGTATGTATCAGTAATATGCTGTAACTAAAAGGCCCTGAGAAAATAAAATGCATCATTATCATTTTTAACCACCACGAAAACAAAACAACAAAAGCAGCAATAATTTACTGAACTACTATGTTGCAAGCATTTATGCCCAGTGCTTTACATATATTTATGCATTAATCCTTATAATACCTAATATGGTAGGTATATTATTACCTCCAGTTTATAGATGAGAGACATGAGGCTCACAGATTTCATTAGCCTGCCCATGGTCACACAGCTAGTAAGTGGTGGAGTTGAAGTTTCAAGCCATATATCACTGACTTCAAAGCCCATGTACGTTCTCTCTACTAGCTACTATGCTTTGCTTAGCTACCATCTATTAAGACGTTATCATATTCATTGTATTAATTTTGCAATTTTTCAGTCAGTTTAAAAATCTGCAAAATAAAATTACGGGGACAAAAAAGACTATTATTATACAGGTATCTTAGTGAGCCAAGATTCTCTAGTGTATATAGCTAGGAGCAGAATTGCTGAGTCATAAGGTATGTATATGTATCTTCAACTGTAGTACTTCAATGTGGTGAACTATTCCTAAGTATGTAACATTATACACTTTCTACCAAGTTCCTGTTGTTCCATATCCTCATCAACACTTGGTATTAGCAATCTTTTTATTTTTAGCTAATCTGATGGAAATGAGGTAGAATCTCATTATGGTTTAATTCTCTTTGATTATTAAAGAAGTTGGGGACTCTTTTTATGATTACTAGCTATTTTTACCTCCTCTTCTATGAAAAGCCTATTTAAATTATTTTGCCTGTTTTTCTCAGATTGGATTGTCTTTTATTGATTTAAGAATCTGTACATATTCTAGATGCTAATATTCTTCAATTACATGTAGAGCAAATATTGTCTTATTGTATGGCTGTCTTCTCTTTATCTTATCTTTTGATAAAGTACTTAATTTTATGAATCAAATACATAACTTCTGATAACAGGTTATTGTATCATAGAAGAAATCTTTCAATACCCTACAGTTATGAAGGTGCACGTGTGTGTGTGTGTGTGTGTGTGTGTGTGGTGTGTGTGCATATACGGCTATATACATATAGCTAGACACACACACATGCATATATACAATGTGTGTGTGTGTGCGCCTTAAAGTTTTATCTTTACTCTTCACATTTAGGTCTGTATCCATCTGGAGTTTTTTGCATATGGTGTGAGGTAAGCGTCTAATTTCTTCTTTTTTTCCTATATGAATATCTGATTATTCTAGCACCATTTATTGAAAAGACTGTCTCTTCCCACTGCTTTGAAATGCCATCGCCATCATAAATCAAGGATCCCTGTAAGAAGAATCTGGAAAGGGTCTAGTCTTTCAATTCTGACTCATTAGTCTATCTGTCTGTAACTGTGTCAGTATCACATTGCTTTTTAAAAATACATCTTGGGACCTACTAAAGCAAGGCTTTCCACCTTCTTTTTCTTCAAGAGTACTTTATTCATCCTTGGCCCTTTATATGTATCAATATATTTTAGAATCATCTTGTCAAGTCCCAAGAGGGAAAAAATAAAATTTCCTGTTCATTTTTTTCTTCTTCTTTTTAGATCAGATTAGAAGCTGCAAGTGTTGGTTGACGTTGCTGACTGGGACCACACTGCATCTAAAGATTGTTTCGGGGAGAACTGACATCTTTATAATATTAAGTCCTCCAATCCAGGAAGCCACAAGCCATGTGAAGTCTTTTTTATACCTAATGCTAGCTCCTCAGAGCTAATCTACTTTTGATATGTGAGTGCCAAGGCTACTTAAATTTGGCACTACCTTTTCCCCAAGTATTCCAAATCCTACAAGTACAGTCTATTTTCCTCTCAACTCCTAAGATGGCAGCCCTAAAACAGAATGCTACATCGTAGTTCCATGGTCCAGAATTGTGCTTGATCCAAGAACTCAGGAGGAGACCCAAATGATTTCTGGCTTTGAGGATATGAAAAATATCCTTCAGGTAATTGAGAACAAACATAATCTTACACTCAAAATCACAAACACACACATAAAAGGCTTTCAAGTGATGAAATCCCCAGATCATAATCTAGAAACAGTATTTTAAAAATAATTCCTACTTGAGAATTGAGACAGAGAGAGAAGTTAGCATAGAATGAGTACCTATTATTGAGGCTTCCTCCAGGACCTAGGGACCTTAACCAGCTTTGGATTCCTGATATGGGAATAAGCAAAGGAATTTTCAGTGCAGTAAGAAATGATTAATGGGCTTTAGGGACTGATTGATGAAGGGAGAAAGCAAAGCAGAAAAACAAACTCTGAAGTTAATAAATGGAAAGGAAAAAAATACCATCCTGAAACACTTGACCTAGGAAGATAAGGGACTGTTTATGGTAATGTAAAGGATTATAAAGACTAAGAATTTTAAGCTGAAAAAAATAGGAATATTTTCACATATATTTCTCCATCTTCAAACTCAGAAATTATTCCCCAGGAGAAATGGAGAAAACAAATCTTTGAGAAAACTAGAAGAGAAAAGCACTAGAGAAGAGACTGTGGGAAAAAAGTATCGTGACCAGTGGGAATGGGCTAGAAATGATCTAATACATCTTTTTCATTCTCTAGTTCCCTCTATACATTAGCGCAGAGGGAATGATATTATCAAGCAACGAGACTAACAAGAAGTGTTTTGTTCAATTTTCAAGGCACTATTAAAAAAATACAGCCTCTAAATGGGAACTGGATACCTGGTCTTAAAAATATACAGAAAGTGTCCTGCTCTTCTGCAGTGAGTTTATGTTCCCGTCTGTTCCCTCTGCAAGAGTCAGCAGGCGGCCTGACGGCATGGCAGGGGAGACATGCCGGGTACCATGAAATCACGGGGTTGGAATGTGGAGTTTGGGTGGTGGGAGGATGGAGGTTCTGTGTTCAAAAGCACTAGAGTTAGAAAAGAATGAAAACGAAAGGAGCTTGGGCTTCCCATGGGTTTGGACAGGAGACAAACCTCAAAGAAAACAGCTTCTAGCCTAGCCCACAGGCATTCATTCAAGGGGAAGCCTGGAGCATCAACCTATGATTCCATCACAGTATGCAGAGGATTAAAAAAGAAGCACATTAGAAAGTACGTCTTCATTTCATTTCAGGCATATTTCCTTGGTAAATGCCACTTCCAGCCTATACATTTATTGACTCATTTTTATAACAGAACCAGCAGTACCATATCCCTGAGGAGCTTCAGCTCTGGGATTTGATATATACCAGAAGAGACAGTGGGTATTCAAATCAAAGGTAGAGCATACCTATCATTTTGACAGACATAGCTGAAACTATTCCTGTTGTAAGGTACTGAGCACATCCAAAATGTGTAATTTCCTTAATTTTCTTACTGTACTCAAAAGCAATTTAAAAATCCCAAGTTATTAATTATGGCAAAAGAATTTTTGTGATTAGGAGAGCTTCTGTCTTTAATTTCAAGTGAATAAGATATATCTAAAGAAGGCCGCCTACTAGCTTTGAAACACTTTCAGCTTCAGTACAGTGGTGAGAAAGACTTCAGCTAAAGATTTCAAGACTCTTCTTACAAAGTCCTGCTTGTATCCAGCTGTAACACCAATTGTTCATTGCTCACATTTGTTTTAACTACAGTCAAAGGTAAACGACAAACTTGGCTCAACGGCCACACTATGTCTTATTGGTTACATAAATGGCATTTTATCACAGATTACAATAAAAAAGTATTCAATAACATTACCCAGCTAATTGGGATGAAAAGTCTATTTATTCTTCAATTGTCTATTTATTTCTATAAGTCTATTTATTCTTCTAATTGTATATAAATTTAAAAATACTGTTTAAAGCTCTCACTCCTTAGCTCTGTTAGTGCTTCTCAATTCTATCATTTACATCGCCCTACTATTTCAATCCTAAGTTCCTGAAATTATCTTCAACATTTTCTTGAAAATGCCTCTACTGGCAATTAAGGATTGAAGAGCTGAAACAGAGAAGACCAGGCGTGACACTGGCTGGGAGGAGCCAGGTGCTCCTCTGAAGGTTTGGCAATGCCTCGGCATTGTTCTGCTATAGTCAGCTCTTTCCTCCAAAAAGCACTGGAGAGTCCTGCTCTGTCAAGAAATGCTCACTCAGCACCAAGAAAAATGGGTTCATTTCTGCTTAGAACTAAAACCAGATGCTCAGACCTGGGAATCAGTAGAGTAAATATTAATTCCGTATAAGAGAAAGAAGGTCCTATATCACCTCCAAGTAAGAAAAAATATCTAGGCCAACAAGTAAAACTGAAGGAAAATTATTTTTTAAAAGAAAGAAAAAGGAGTGACTAATCAATTAGACTGTGAGCGCCTAAAGGGCATAAATGATAAGCACTTAATATGTATTGTCAGTTCAGTAAAACAGTTTAAAAGGAATCAACTTAATTCTTAACAAATATTCCCCACAGGCTTATTTAAGCCATTTTCAAATTTCAAGAGTTACGCATCTATTTTCCTTACATGCACTGTACCTACCATCCTTCTATCATATAATGGAATGCTTTTGCAGATGTATTTTCCTTCTCGTGATGAAATTTAGCTATCAGAAATGTGCCCTGGCCCTTTCATGTTCTTCATCTCATGTAGTGAAGGTAGGAATCATAGGCATCATTTTCTAGGGAAGGACATTGCAAAGTTAAATAACCTGCATAAAGTCACAGGCAGGTGAGTCAGATCTGGATCTGAGCTCCTGCCACTGGACTCCAAGTTCTACATTCTTTCCATCACATTGAACTGCATGCAATTTAGAACTTCCTGGCTTCAAGCTTCCCACTCCCACCCAACCCCTCTCCCCAACACACTTCTCAGAAGGGGAAAGTGTACCAAGGAGATGTTAATCAAAAGGCCAAGGGCACACAACTAAAGGCACAGCTGGGGCCAGAATTCAGAACTCCAGTGCCCTGCCCACCACACCACATAATGTTCTTCCCCAGATGCCATGTTTTGAAGGTGTGACCTCCTCAAAATTCAAATTGGAAATCCCCACTGTAGTAGTATTAAAAGCTGGGGCCTTTTAGGAAGTGGTTAAGTCATGAGGGTTCTGTCTCATGGATGGATTAATGCCCTTATAAAAGAAGCTTCAGGCTGGGCGTGGTGGCTCACACCTGCAATTCCAGCACTTTGGGAGTCCAAGGCGGGTGGATCAAGTGAGGTCAGGAGTTCCAGACCAACCTGGCCAAAATGGTGAAACCCTATCTTTACTAAAAATACAAAAATTAGCCAGGCGTAGTGGCAGATGGCTATAGTCCAGCTACTCAGGAAGCTGAGGCAGGAGAATCACTTGAACCTGGGAGGCAGAGGTTGCAGTGAGCTGAGATAGCACCATTGCTCTCCAGCCAGGGTGACAGAGCGCAACTCCATCTCCAAAAAAAAAAAAAAAAAAGAAAGCTTTAAAGAAAGTATACACTGTTTTGCCCTTCCACCCCTTCCATGTAAGGACACAGCATTCCTCCTTGCTGGAGGATGCAGCAACAAGGTGCCATCCTGAAAGCAGAGAGCGGCCCTTACCACACACCAAAGCTGGTGCCTCGCTCTTGGGGCCGTCCTAGCCTCCAGAACTGTAAGAAATAAATATCTGTTCTACATAAATTACCCAGTCTGTAGTATTTTGTTACAGCAGTACAAGTGAACTAAGACACCAGGTTTTTAATTTTACACTGTTCTTTTCTCCTGTAGCTATTTCTTTTGTACCTAAACATCTCTTTGGGCTATTTTCTTCAGGTCTTTTGTTCTGTCTCCCCAGCAGACAGAAATGATGAAATATAAAGTCATGAAGCTTTGGCTCCCAGGAAGGATTACATCATCACCTCAGGGCAGTTAATCTATATTTAAACGCAAAGTTTATACGTAAGTAAAGAATAAGGAGGCAAGTCCTTTTTTTTCTTAGAAAGATGATTAAAACTAAATTAACAATTATCTAAACATGACATAAATAATTAGAAAATTAAATGCAGTGCAAAATATTTTAATTCCTAATAACACTACTTGCTAAACCAAATCAGCAAGTGTCATATTCTTGCCATAACATACTAACACAGCATATTTTTATCTTGAACAAGACAGTAAGTACAGGTAATACATCAAGAAGCACTACAGTTTTAAAAGTATAAAAAATGATATGTTTTTAAAAGTTAGTTTATCCTCATAAGAATTTTTTTTTTTTTTTTTTTGAGACAGGGTCTCTCTCTGTTGCCCAGGCTGGAGTACTGTGGATGATCAGAGCTCACTGCAGCCTCAAACCCCTAGGCTCAAGCAGTTCGCCCATCCTCCCAAGTAGCTGGTACTAGGCGAATACACAACTACGTTGGCTAATTTTTTGTGTGTGTATAATTCAATTTATATGAAATATTCAGAATAGGTGAACCCATAAACAGGAAGTCAGTTGGTGGTTGCTAGGGACGGGGAGGATGGAGGAAATGGAGAGTTCTTGTTTAATGGGTACAGGGTTTCATTTTGGGATGATAAAAAATGTTTTAGAACTAGACAGAGGCGATGGTTACACAACATTGTGGATTTTCAGTACCAAATGTCACTGAATTGTTCCTTTTAAAATGGTTAACTTTATGTTATGTGAATTTCACCTCAATACAAATAAATAATAAATACATTGCAAGGAAAAATTTGGAAAGAGGCCTATCAAACAAAAAAGTTGTAATGAAAAAGAAAAGACATTAAACATGTTTTTAAACAGGTGGTTTTGGGCATGGAGCTGGTTGATGTTACAAATCCTGTCCCATTCATTCACATCAAGCTGTCCAAACCTAGTAACTGGAAAGGTCCCACGATGCTGAGCTCTAAATATCAAACACAAAACTAGAATTCTAGAATTATCTGGTATTTTCCCTTTCCTGAAAATTCCATCTTTAACTGGGGTCTATGGGTTCAAGAGCCATATTTATGAACCAAAATTCAGGACACATACTCTGGTTCAGGGACAATGAATGGTAGGAAGACTATCCAGGATATGTAGCTGTTGAAACTGCAGCCCTCTCAATGACTCTAATACTCAAGAGGTTAAAAGAATCCAGCCCCAGGAGCTTTAGATACAAAAATAGTAACAACCCAACTGTACTTGACTGCATTTAGAAAACATAATTATTTCCAAATCTACTG